ATGTTAACTTACTGCTGGCCCAATTAACTTCTCCTTTACATTGAAGTCAGGTGAACAGGTACTATCTAAACCAACAAACACTTTATCTTGTACATAATGCATCTAAAAATAATAACAAATATAAACACAATACTGAATAAACATGGTACCTTTAAAATTATAATACTTAGTGTGCTTTCCATTTGTCAGAACTGGCTGGCCAGACCCAGAGAAAATGTCATTATATATCATTCCCATTTAGTTAGGAAATTCAAATTTTCAAATTCTATCCATTATTCTACAGAAAAAACTCGAAATGACTGAAAAATGTTGACAAAAAGCATTATATACATGTACCTCTAAATGGAGTGGACTGGCTGGCCAGTTCTGCCTAAATGGAAAGCACCCTTATATACTTACCCCAGTAGGGATTGCCTGTGTAGCAACAGCTTGAGTAATCGGTGATGGAGTTGAAATAACAGTTGATGATTGATACGATGACCATCTTGATTGGTTGGCAGCAGATTGTTTACCAAAGATACCCGAACCAGCCATAATTTCTTGGATTCTTTGAACAGCTTTATCAACCTTGTCTTGTGAAGTTCCTTGAATACAAAGATATAAAGGCCTAACCCTGTAATATTACAAACTTGTTAGACAYCATCACTGAYAATGTACAAYATTCACAAYACTTACCCCTCTGATTCCTGCAATCTTTCCTCAGCGTCCAGGAAACGACCTTTTGTAGACACAGCAGCACCACTATAACGATTAATCTGGACAAGAAAAGAAATATACAGACTTATACCTTACATGTACTTAAAATTATCCAAAATGTGTTCAAAAAAGTGCTCAACTTTGTCAAGGAGAATTGCATAAAATAAAATTGTACTTAAAGACTAGAATGACTCATTGTGTTATTGCTACAAGCTGGTTTTGTATGGTCATAAGAGATGACCACATTTGCCAGGCAAGTTACATGTACAATGAATGAATGACCATTAAMGTTTACTGGTAGTTATACCTCATTGACACAATACATTTTCTAATATAATTGAAAGAAGACTACTAAATCAACATTGTGATTTATTTTCTTACCTCATCTTGAGTTGTGCCCTTGCACAATATTATTCTATAAACAAGAGCAATAAGAAAGAAAATGTTGTTTATATGAATTAC